TCAATCACAAGTGTATTGATATCCAAAACTTTGATGTCAGCGAGTCACTCAACCGCAGTAACATACACGAAAAAACTTTGTGCAGAAGAAGAAGAAATCTAAAATTTTAAGTAAGTAAAAAGTCTGAAGATGAACTGGTATTTATAGCAAAAGTAATTGGTTCCAAAAGGTTGCAACCTTTCAGTTTCCACACGACCATTTATATTTGCAACCTTAAATGGTCATGGTTGTTCCTGAAAGTTTCAACCTTTCATAATAATCTCCAACGGCGAGAAATTCAAATAAATAGCAAAGAATTTTAAATAAAATGGATTTGCGCGTGGATCTGAATTGGATCGGTCAATTAACTAAATAATTGAAACTTTTCGATCAATTAACTAAACAATTGAAATGGTTTGTCCATTTAATTTAATTCAATAAATTAATTAAATTTAACTAAAAAAAATTAAAACAAAACTTTGTCCAAAAAATAATTTGTCGATCATTTTCCAAAGCCAAAATCGAGTCGAGCGAGCGACGACGGAGTGAGGGGAAGTCCCTCTTTTCAACCCTTTTTAAAAATTAATAGAAGTGTTTCTCTATTTAAACTTATTTATTTTTCTTTCCACCGTCGATGAGGGAGAAAACTTTTTTACTGAATTTTAAGAGGACTTTTCAAGATCCCAACTTTCAAAGTTCCTCTCTTAATCTTCCCTCCATTCCCCATTAACTCTTGCTATATACCCAACACTATAATGGAGGTGTGTGAGGCAAGGAGTGGCAAGAGTTAGTAGTGTTGTATTTGGGGGAAATCTCTATTAGGAATCAAAATAAGCAGGTGTAAATGCGGAAGCTAGCAATGCAAACCTAAAAAGACCACGAGTAAGAAGACAACGAGAAATATACCAAGACACAAAGATTTAACGTGGTTCGGTCATTCGACTTACGTTCACAAAGGAGATGAGCAATCCATATAAGTATGAGAGTACAAAATATAGAGGGAAACAACCTCAACCAATTCACTCGGAATACATGGGAGGTTCACACAAGCGATAACATATCAAGATTGTGACCCATAAATTCTCCCCCTAACCAAAACTCTCAAAGCTCTTAAGACTACATTGTGAATGCTAATTAAGTTAGAAGGAACATGCCTCTATTTATATAGTCCTAAACCTTTTCCTACAAGAAAAAGAATTAGTCAATCCAAAACCTTTTCCTAAAAGGAAAACCTATTTATGGTAAGAAATTTAGGGCAAATAAAACCCAACAAATCTCCCCCTTGACCTAAATTTCTAACAAAATAAATTTGTCCACCTTCTTCACTTAATCTTCAACAACTTGCTTCTCCTCGCCATAATCTCCTTTGCAAAATTTGTGTCTCAACACAGAGAACCTCTCTGAAATAATTTCTCCAACAAAATCTTCATTACTGTCAAAAAGTTTGCGGCTAGAACTACACCCGTCAAGATGAACACCTCTTTCTAACCTGGTTCAATCATCGATTATTGAACCGCTGAACCTGACTCCGTCATTTAATCTGGCTCTGATACCACTTGTTAGGAATTGAAATAAGCAGGTGTAAATGCGGAAGCTAGCAATGCAAACCTCAAAAGACGACGAGTAAGAAGACCATGAGAAATATACCAAATGACACAAAGATTTAACGTGGTTCGGTCAATCGACCTACGTTCACAAAGAAGATGAGCAATCCACTATAAATATGAGAGTACAAAATATAGAGGGAAACAAGCTCAACCAATTCACTCGGAATACATGGGAGGTTAACACAAGCGATAATATATCAAGCTTGTGACCCATAAATTCTCCCCCTAACCAAAACTCTCAAAGCCCTTAAGACTCATTGTGAATGCTAATTAAGTTAGAAGGAACATGCCTCTATTTATAGAGTCCTAAACCTTTTCCTAGAAGAAAAAGAATTAGTCAATCCAAAACCTTTTCCTAAAAGGAAAACCTATTTATGGTAAGAAATTTAGGACAAATAAAACCCAACAATCTCTATGTGATAGAAGGGATCTAATATGAGAGGGATGAATCTTTGATGTATAGTACTCATATAGGTTTTCTGGAAATATTATTTTGGATTATCTTATACAAAAATGAATAAAAATAATCACATAGATTGGGACGTGCAAGTATATAGCTACACTGAATTATTTGGTAGGTTTAAAAATAAATAAAAATAATCACCCCATACCGAAGAAATGTATTTATATAGTAAATTATATTTTAATATTGAGTTTAAATAAAGATACATTTAGATATTTCTCTTAGGCTTGGATTCGTTGAAAAGACTACAAATCCTTTTTAGGTTATTTTATATAACAATTTAGTGAACTTTCATATACTCATCAGAGGCGTATCACAACGTTTGATGGAAATGTGTCTCACAATAGTCGAGGATCTTCTTTCGTATAAGGGTTCAAGAAAGGAAAAAAACTTGTTCCTCAAATATATGATACAACACGTCGACATAAAATACTTATATAATTTGAACAGAAGTTAGATCTACCTTTGAAATGGAGATTCTTTCCTTGAAAAGTACATGTTTTGCTCCTTCAAGGAGTCTATATGGTATAAATTCAGTTTTGTTGGATTATTAGGTTTGATATTTAGATGGTTAAATGAAAACACAAACAAATAATTGTTAGAAAAGGATTAAAAAAATCAAATAATTGTTAGAAAAGGATTTAAAAAATCATTCTCTTATATAAAAAATCAACCTTTAAATAGACCACTTGTAAATCATTTATGTGTTTGAAATAAAAATTAATTTAGAGAATTTAATTCATCAAGGTTACAATTGTGTTTCTTATAGCATTCTTTTTTGCAATCATAAAAAATACATTCTTTTAGATTTAGAACTTCAGTACATTTGCATTGTGCATTCACTTGATTAATATCTAATGCTACTGGAATCAAATTCATGAAAAACAACATTACGAAACATTCCTCGCATTATTAGTATATAAAAATTTATATCAATAAGTTTAAATATCATATATGTCATTAAAATGAAAAGGTTAAATCTCAAATTTAAAAATTACTAAAGAGTATACAAGACAAACCTGAAATAATGAGAAGGAAACAAAGAGCAAAGCTCAAGAACTTGGTCATTCTTATACAAAATTAATCTCCTGTTAATTTCAATGTTACATTGGTGCAAAGCGCAAGAGGCTATTTATAGTGTGTTTTTGCCAGATTTTGATAATTAAAATGGAGAATAAAATTAAACTCATTTATTTTTTTGTTTATTTATAATTTGTGTCCTTGTTGAAAAATTATGGAAAGTTACATAAAAAGTTTGAAAATTTACAAGGTAACATAATAATTATATTTTAATTTTGATTCATATATATGTTCTATATATAATATGTTAGAATAATATGGTAAATGTATATATATTTTTCCTAAACTAATTTAAAGATCAAACATAAAATTAAAGAATTGATGATTCTTCAATCTTAAAAATTATTTTTTTCCATTTTTATACAACTAATAGTTAGTACCTAAAAAATATTAAGAAAGAGATAAATTGTAATATAGTAAGTACTAGGAAAAACGTCTGCGCTTCGCGCAGTTTGTTTTGTTTAATTATCTCACTCATTATCATAGGTTAATATTGTTATTTCGTATTGATCACCGTGATTTATTATCAATATATAATATATTTTTTTCGATGTATATCTTCGTAGTAATTGTTGAACATTTTATTAATCATTTGTGCCATATTTCCTTTATGCTCGTTTTTACATATTCCAAGTTCCCACATTCTTTATTATTTATTTAATTGGCTGTCATTGAATAGGGGCAAATCTAAGAGGGGCGTATAAAATGTACACATAGCGATTCATATATCTGTTGTGTATTACAACTTTGAATTACATTAATATTTAATAAGTTAGTCCTATTGAAACACAAACTCCATATTGTGTGCAATTGTATGTCACAGAATAGGGGCCAATATTAGAGGGGCGTATAAAATGTACACCTAGCGATTCATATATCTGTTGTGTATTACAACTTTAAATTACATTAATATTTAATAAGTTAGTCCTATTGAAACACAAACTCCATATTGTGTGTAATTGTAAGCTACAGATCCAATTGTCCTTACATTATATATGATTCATGTTCATATGGTTTCCATATTGTCCTTTGTACGTTTCGTATGACCATTCATTATGTGAGTGATCACCTTCAATGTATTTATTTGTAGCTGATGCGTCATTTTTTGGATTGACTATGTTGTTTATAACGTGACATCATGTGTTTCTACAAGTCTTGGATATACATTCTGGAATATTTCTCTGTAAACAATATTTTTAATGTGTGTATGGTCTTCACTGTCCTCGTCTGCATTTAATATTTTCAATCCTTCTCTTGTTGTTAAACGTGATGCTACGACATATAATTGTCCATGTGAGAATACCTGTTTTGGAAGATATAGTCCAATTGTCTGAAGAGTTTGTCCTTGAATTTTATTGATTGTCATGGCATAACAGGTTGCTATAGGAAGTTGCCGTCTATTAAGCTTGAATGGCCATTTTGAATCATTTGGAGACATGATAATTCTGGGTATTGTGACTATTTTGCCGATGTTCTTACAAGATATGATGTTTGCATTTACAGACCATTTTCCCAAATGTGTGATCATTAATCTTGTACCGTTGCATAGTCCTTCTGTTTGATTGTGATTCCTAAGAAGCATAACCGGACTTCCTACTTTTAAGTGTATATCATGGTTAGGGATGCCTGAGAATTGTAAGTTATTAAGGAATTCAGTGGGGTACAATATATCTTCCTCATTAGTGTTCACAATTGCTTTGCACACATTGTCAGAGATGTAGTAGGTTCTTCCTTCCCCTAGTATAATATTCATTATTTTTTCATTTAGATCATGAACCATTTCATTTTTTGGTGGTTAGTATGGCTCTTTCTTTCAAGTATGTCGGGTCGTTGTAATTCTGTAATAGAGATGGATATACTTCATCTACAATTTATTCCACTTGATTGTGTGATGGTTCAATGGATATATCAGGCGGGAGCTTAATGAGTTCCATCGTTTTATCAGCATAATATGATCCATCTCCAATCTGCAATAACCATCTATCAAAACTAGCAATTCTTTCAACTTCAGAACCCATCACTTCTCCACAAGTAAGACGCATATTTTCCTTTAGTTCATAAATTGAAAAGTAGGGCCAGAGGTGCGAATTGTTTAGAGACGCATCAACAATATCAGCTCTTGTTCCTTTTGGAATTACCGGCAGGATTTGTCTGAAATCACCACCACACACGATTGTTAGTCCCCCAAAAGGCCTGTCACAACTATTTTCATACCTATCTTGAAGAATGTCCCTCAAGCTCCTGTCTAAGGCTTCTAAACAATATTTGTTTGCCATTGGAGCTTCATCCCAAATTATCAAACATGTTTTCTTTAGTAGTTCTGCTAATTGGCTTCCTTGTTTTATGTCACATGTTGACTCGGGTGTGACGTCAAGCGGAATATGGAACCGCGAATGAGCAGCCCTGCCGTTCGGCAACAATAAAGCTGCTATTCCTGAAGTGGCGAGTGGTAGAACTATTTTTGATTCTGATCTGATTTTTGAAATAATTGTATTCCATAGAAATATCTTGCCTGCACCACCATGTTCGTGTATAAAAAATAATCTGCCTTCGTTATTATCAACGGATGATATTATTGCCTCATATGCCGGTAATTGAAAGCTATTTAATAGTTTAAATGATTTGTCGTGCATTTTTTTAGTTCACCTTTGTCCTAGTCTAGCTTTTCATTAATTAGGCGATTTTCCACATTCCGCATTAATGTATTATCTGGCAGTGGCATCCCTTGTATGTCTCGCAAACTTCTTCCCTATTTTATGAGCATGTTTTCAATTTCCAACAGGGAATACGCTTCTATTTGTTTGTCAGTTAGTTGCAAATCTTTCAGATGTAATCGCTTTCTCTGCATCGATGTGATATCTTCTGATAATATGTTGTAGTTATTCTCCCAAAGCTTGTGTGAATCTGAAACTTGGCAGTGAATAAGAATAGTCACAAATAGATTGCGCAGTTCATTTCCACTTGCCCATTGGGCAGCCTCTGACAAGCAGTCATTCCACTCCTTGTCGTCATCTTATAAGCCTAATGCGTAGCAAGCCTCTCGATAGGTTTTATAATCTACTCGATTAATTCTTCTTATGCTTTCAAATGAAGTGCAGCCTTTGACAAAATTTAACAACATGCGCAGATAAAAACGCTCTCCAGTAGCTGGATGTGCAAAATAGATTCTACCAACTGCCCGACCTTTTTTCCTCCTAGTCCATTTCTTTTGTTTTACATTCCATACCCACCATGTAGGAAAATCAGAATATGTTAGATCTCTTGCATCGGGGTACTCTTTGTTTGCTTCAAACCATTCAGTAAATTTTGTTTTTTCAATATCTGGTTTGTTCAATACGCTTTCAGCTTGCCTTGATTCTTCGAATATTATGGTGTTTTGTCCTTGTAAATGGAATGGTAATCGCTCAACTGCTGGTTTTCAAAAATAAAGTATTTCACGTGTATATCATGTTTTTTGTGCGTAGTATAGTTTTTTTGTACAGAATTCCCTTGTTTAATTCCTGGTAAATTGGGTGGTGCATCTGGCTATTCTAAGGTGGATATTTCCTGGTCTTAGTTGGCACTATTTAGTAAACTATTTTGTAATATGTTAATACATTTTTAGATGATGCATACAGTGCGCTAAAGTATGGAGGTATATAAGAGTATTTGATAGAAAGAACTTACATGCTATTACTGTCCCGAATGGTTTATCTTTTTTAATATGTTGCATTAGTTGGGCCAGCTTGATCTGGAAAACCCTGCATATGATGTCTACCCGACTACCATCGTCATGTTGACCAATTAGGTGCAACATTGCCTTTATTTCTGGCCACTTTGGGTTACATGTGAAGGTAAGAAATAAATTTGGGTATCCAGCCCATCTACATATAGCCATTGCATCTTGATAATTTTGTGCCTTGTAGCGAGGTCCACCCGTGTGTGACAAAGGTAATATAATTGTTTTCCCGACCTATGAACAATCAGAATCTCCACGCACAACAACATCCATTAAGCCCCCAAAAAGATCAGCCCGAAGTTTTGGTTGGTTATTTCGTATATATCTAAATTGCTCCTCTTCAATTGCCATGTAACCATCCACAATGTACTGCTGTAGTAGCCTGCCAGCCTGTATAAGTGTGCGCCCCTCATTAAGTCGTTGTTGTATGCGGTATCCATAATATTGTCTCATTGTCATGTGCTCTCGTGTGTAAGTTTTTTGGCTTTGAGACACCAATTGTATTCCCAGTCTATATTCATCTTCACCGTATGGGTGTATTAATGGGAAAGTCATTGACATGAAACTTGGGTGTAAATCGGTGATCCTTTGGAGCCCATTTTTGCGGTGTTCAACAATAACATCTCGCTGGAAGTTAGCATCTGTAAGATCGCCAATGATCAATCCAGCTACTTCCGAAGCCGTAGGTATATTGTATTGCCGACCATCGCTAATCTTTTCTGATAGAAGACGTAGGCGAAACTCTGTTTGTGGTTGTTCTCTATATCTATCCCTTGACATACGAAATGATTTTACCAGAACATTATGCTCGTCGAGCATTTCACATATTCCCTGAACAATGTCTACTTGAACTTCTTCATGCATTACACTGTTGATTCGATTTTCTATTTCATTGTCCGTATCATATATATATAGTTGTGAAAATTGTGGTTTTTTCCCAATTTCAGGTAAGAGAGAGCCAATATGATGATAATTATGTCCACTGATTCTGAATACATAAGCACCTTTTGTATGATTGGTTTATTTGTCAACTCGGCCTCCCATAGATGTAAATGCGAACATGGAGTTGTATACCCTGATATTTTTTCTAAACTGTACACCTATTTGTCCGGATGTATTGCTCAAAAGATATTGAAGGTAGGGTGGTGGTTGGCTCAGTAATGGTAAACGAACATGACCTTCCATACAACATATTGAAAATATGGGTTGTCGTGTATTTGTACTTTTGATTATCCGTTCTTCATACCATAGAATTGCTCCGCAATATTGACAGGTGTAGGTTGGAGGGCCTAAATTCCAAGCTTTCTTGTATGCACCTGTCATAGAAGATTGTAGCTAATGAGTTTAAGTATTATATGCACAAATATTGAATTTCCTAACCTTATGTAGAGTTAGGTGCATAGGTTATAATGTATCACATTATAAGTTTTTTAAATGTACTTGTTTTCTGGCAAATGACAGGGTTGTTGCCTCTGTGATACTGATTTGGATTTGATACGTCTTCACATTCATCCATAACCGAATCATAGGACTGGTTAGGTTGGATCCCTGTAAAATAGTTTTGAAAATGTTAGTTACTAAGTATTGTACATCTGGGAAGTTGTTTATTATTAAAGCATGGGTTCATTTAATTTCTAGCAATCATATTTCTCTGTTTATTGTTTTATGTGTCAGACATTCACATAATGTAAGAGAAGGGAGTTACATAGTAACAGATAATGTGCATGTGTAATTGATATGTTTTATCACGTTTTTCAGTTTTTATATTTCCTACGTATTAAGTTGTATACAATTTAACTAATTGGGTCGGGTGTTGTGGTATGTTCGAGTTAATTTGAACGTACCATGTATTTGTTGTTGCCGTTTTATAGTTGTGATATTAGTTAGTTTCATTTCGTTTGCAATTTTTTTTGAGAAAACGTACAACCAAATTTGCTTGCTTCTGTGGTTGATCTTTGTATTTCCTCTGAAGTAATGTGAGTTTCCTCTTCAGGCGAGAATACTTTGGCAATAATTTTCTTATATTTACTAATTCCTCTGTCCGCGTATTATTGGTTGTTGTTAATGTATTACTCTTCATATTTTTTTGGACTTCCTGTATTTGCTTTCTAAATGAGGTAGAATTTGGTGTAGTACCTGAATGTCGGAGGAAATATGTGTAGACCCACAAAATGCCTTAATACTGTGTGTTATTAAATCCATTATGTCTGGCCCCGTGATCTGGTAATTCTGAATTTTTTAAAAAATTTATGTTGGTAAGAATACTGGCCAATATATGGTGTACTGATTTTTTAGTGTAGTGCAATATATTTGATGGTAAGATTTCTGCCCAATCTAGTTCTCTTGATAGAGCAATGTGTTGCAATAGATTTCTTAGTAGCAGAAGGTTGGATTTTAGTTGTGTTATGAAGAAAGTAATTGTTTGTTCCTAATTTATATCAATAGGAATCAGTGTAAATTAACTGTATGAAAGGACACACCATTTCGTTCTAGGGGTGGAATTGGTGTGTTTTAAGTGTTCGAAAGGACACAACGTTTCGGTGCGGCAGAGTTGAGTAGTCCATTAAGACAGTCAGTTTTCATGTCGTTTTGTTTTCGTAGTTTATTCTTTTTATTTAGTTTTAACTAATTAGTTTCATTGTGGTTTATGTGTTGAACCACAAATTTTTTAGTACTCCAGAGATGCTGTGGGGATTATGTGGTGGAATATGTTGCGATTGTCAAATTGGTTATTTTGTATAGTGTCTGCCTTTTATACTCACATCGCAAATATGAAAGATGACTTCAAACATGATGAGACTGAGACACTTCTGAATGGAGCTCCTTCTGAATGAGTTATTTCTTCATGGTTCATTTTTATACATATAGTTTTAGATAATTGAAATTAAGACGTTTTTGAAATTCTGTTTGGCTCTTCTTCATAGATCAAAAGCTCCTCATGAATTGCACTTATGCCTGTGTTCTTGGGCTGTCTATGAATATGACTTTTAAAAATGATATGGAAAAATATTTTACGTGTCTGTTGGTTGAATCTCTGCTGAGTTTTGCTTTATCTTAGAATGAAACTTAGCTATCACTGAAGTGTGTAGTCTGTTCATGTCTGTGTGATAGAAAATATGGTGACAGATCATTAATTCAATGCCTGAATATGCCCTTTGTTTTCTCAAAGAAGAATGCTGATATTATTTTCCTTAAACATAAATTGACTGATGGAAGACAAATTTTTAAATTTGAACATTTTATGTACAAGAGACATATAAAGAAACAAAAAACCACTTGCAAAACTAATTCATCAGCAAAAACAAAGTGAGAAAATGATCTTCTCAAACATAGCTTGTCTCTACAGCCATTGAACTGTACTGAGTATCTATTACGACAATGAAAATAATCCCTGCTAAAGAGGAAAAATATAAAATCTTATTACCTAGTATTACAAGATCTCATGAACTGTGAAATGATGAAATTGTCATTTCAGATGATTTACAGCCACCACAAACAATGTCTGCGAAGATGGCTCTAGTTTTGTATCTGTTTAGTAAGTGTTTTGAGTTTTGTATGCAGGTTTATGGGCCTCGTAATGACGGTGAAAGTGAGTTATATTTCTTTGCTGGAATAGCAAATGCAATATCTTAATAGTCTGACGGTGAAGAGCAGAATGCAGCAATTCAGCATGAGATTTGGAGAGGTGCAAGGGCCATACAGAAAGCTGCTCATGCAACAACTTTGTATCTTTGTTTGACTTCTCCGAAAATGGTTTTGTAATTATTGCATTTTATTGTTCAACTATGCGGTAACGACTCCCAACGAAGTGTAATATGTTTGTAGGTGAGGATTTTCAAAATACCGTAAGTTGAGCGACTAATTGTGAACTTGATAAGTAGCTACGTATAACTTGAGGAGCAAAATGTGTTTTGGGAGATGGAATATATAAACAACTCAACGTTGATAGTAATGTGCATTTAGTAATGAAAGATTATTTGACACTAAACTAAACCTAATCACCTACCATAACAAACATCAACTATATATAGCCACTGTTAAACAAAAAAAGTTGTCACTTTTTGATCAAACTAATAATGTTAAGGTCCCTAGCATAAAATTAACTCTACTTTGTCCTTTTTATGGTGTCATCATCACTCTCTTCACTGTCAGCTATAAATAAGTTCCTTCGCTTCTTGAACTTTCTTGAATAAACTCTTTGTTTGGAAATGAAAGTGTCTGCTTCATCAGAAAGTTCATTAGAGTAGTCTGTGTTTGATCCTTCCGCATTGAAGTCTGTTTGTTTAGTGGAATCGTCCAATTTCTCTTTACCCTGTACAGTAAAAACCGTTCCAATAATTAAGGAGGGTTTATGTTGAATGGATGGTATAGAAGATGACTGATTTACTATCAAGAGAGTTCGAATTTGACAAAAAAATCACACTGTATACCTTAACCCTTTTGTCTTTGTTTATGCGGTGCTGCAATTCTAATTCTTCATCAGGCACATAAACTTTAGTGACAGTATAGTTTTCCAGCCCTTCTTTCAAATTGAAACTGCTCAATTTGAGTTTGAAGACCAATTCCATCCCGCAAAGACTTTGAATCTGGTGCGGTATATTACTCTCACTTTTGGACAAACTATTAACCAACTTGTCAGCAGAAGTATCAAGAAGTTTTTCAGCGACTCCCTTAAACAGGACCAAAGTAGTGTTCCCACCATTGTCCTTGACGTTAATGTGGATTTTAAACCTGTGTGAGTGTAAAAAGTTAGTGTTCCTTCAAATATAAGGTGTGAATAGAATGTTTATTAGTTGCTTACCTAATCAATGGTAAGTCACATTGTTTGTTGCACCTCTGGCATGTGTAGACACCATTTGAGGATTCAACTTTCTTGTTGCAGAAGTTACAGGAAATGTAATACCAATCAAAGAAATTCTCTATTGCAGTGATCTGCCCGCGGAGTGTAACAACACATTCCTACCATATGAATAATGAAGATAGATACATTAAAACATATAAACATCGGTACACATATTAAAAAGAGGCAGTATGTTGATAAAAGGAAAGGTGATTTTTGTTTGAAGGGTTATTATGGTACTAACCTCTATGTCGGGACTCCATTCAGAATCTAATAATTATGCAACAGTCATCCTGTTTTCAAACATAGCTTGTGCATTGGGAACGTTACTTGAGTTTCCACTCGCAATAGTTACAATATGAACTGATTTCTTTGAGAATTTATGAAGCAAGGCGGTGATGTTGTCCATTTTAAGATTGACATAAATTTTACTTGCAGCAGTGGTGGCAAAAGTTAGTTCACCTATTATGAAATAAACAACAACTTAATTGTCATAACGGCATATACATGTCACTACTATAATGTTGCAGCATGTTCAGAATAAGTACATACCTCTGAATTCTTTGACTGTTGTAGCAATGATAATGACAATGTAGGGTCCAAAGTCGTTGGGATATACATAGGGGTAAAATGATTCACCGTGGTCCTCCCAAAAAGTTATCCTTGCTTTGATAGTCAGATCATCTCTGAAAGATAATTGTAATGTATTAGACAGTGAATCAATATGAGTTTTGATGCTGCAATTTGGGGATGAATGAATATGAACGTAAATGAGTTAAGAAAGTTACGGATCGGTTAGAATGTGTATGTCACGCTTCTGCCATTTTGAACCCACACTTTCTACATCACCAATTCCGCATAAGCATCCAACAACATCTACAAGTTAGGAGGGGGATTATTCATTGTATACGGTCCACACAGCGTCTAACATAAATGAAAGGAATAAATATACCTGACAGTAGAATGTTGTTTTTGATCCTTGAGCGAATAACTTCTTGTTGAATAAACTGAAAACCATTCTGACGGATATGGACAATATCATCCTGTAGTTTTTGTATGGTAGTTTTCCGCAAAAATGTTATTTTAAAGTTCGACTGTACTGGTCTGTAGTCACCGGTTAATGCTGAAACTTTGAAGTTTCTAATAATGACTGCAAATCCTTCACTCAACTTATCACGAAACTTATTGACTTGGTTCTTCCATATTATTGCGTGCATCAAAGTTCCCTGAGAGAAGACAATGTGGAAGACACTGCATAATAACGATATTAAAAATTAGAAGCGAAGGATGTGAATTATGAATACCTTTTCATCAATTAGTATCATGTCAAGGCTTATCATTTCTGGGCTGCACTTAAAATTAATAAATTCCGACTGCCGACAGACTCGGACTTTAATCAGCCAATCATCGCGAGTAGCATCCAAATCAGAAAGAAGTGAATAGGCCATGTTTAGATTTCTTTGGCAGAAAGTAGAAGACTGTTTATATTTGTAGTCAGAAAGACAGAAAGAAGTGATAGAGAATGGGTGCTACGAAGGGTGTTAGCCATTTTATAAAGAGGTTGAAACCGTTGACGATGAGGCGTGTTGTTTCAGAGAAGGCAGAATGAATGGTTGTTTCCGGCGAAAGGACATGTTGTGTGAAGAAGGAAAAACAGAAAGTAAAACGACAGATGGTTTGGGTTGAAGAGGCGGCTGGTGTGGGGGATCTTTTTAAAAGGGTATTTTAGGGAATATTGTAAAGTGGAAGGGTTTTCTGGATGGGGAAGCTGCCACGTAGGCGAGAGTAAGATTTTATTTTTTATATATATATATGATTTAAAACAAAGATAAATAGTTAATATTCTAGTATTTTTTTTAAAATTAAAATTGTAATCACATTAGAGGTTACAATAACAATAACATGCCAACCGTAATCCACAAGTGAGATCTTGACAGAGTAGAAGGTACACATTATTTATTCTTACCTTAATGGGGTAAATAGGTCATTTTTAAGAAACCTCAGTTTAAATAAAAGTATTCGAAGAAGGATTAAGACAAATAAATAATTAAAATAGCAAGATACAAAATAAATGAGCAATTAATCATAGTAATCATCATATCATATTATATTTTATTAAAGGGAGGAAGATTTTAGATTTGAAGTTTGATAACAAAAATGCCCTTCACTAATTGTCACGACCCGAAATGGGTGTGATGGCACTCGTCTTATCCCACCAAGACAAGTCACCCTAAAACCCAATATCTAACAAAGTGCGGAAGTAAATGACAATCCAACAACAATTTCTATAAAAAAAAACCAAGTCATATTAATTTAATCCCCAAAACCAGGTTGTCACGTGCACAAGCCTCTAATGTAAATTATTAGAATTGAAACAAAATAGAAGTCTAAAATGAAGTTGTCTTTCCAGTAAAAACAAAGTCATAAACTGGAGTAGGAAAGTTCGCAGAGATGACAAGCAGCTACCTCACAATCTTCCACAAGATGCCTCGGAAACGAAGATAATTGAAGGTATCACAAAAATTCGGGCTCGTAACCTACAAAAATTTGTACAAGCAAGGGATGAGTACCAAACCAGGCGGTACCCAACAAGCAAACCTCTAAACACAAGTTAATTGAACAAAATACGGGTACTTCTTACACCCTATCTAGACCTCCACGCTACAGCCTAACAGTATACAGTTTACCAAACACACAACTCAATAACCACACTCTATTAGTTTACACATTCTCAATAACAACTCAATATTCAACAGTAACAAGCTTCACAGAAAAACACTCACAAGATCAGCAAAACACGTGTTCAAGTTCATCAATAATAAATGTGTAATGCCATGAGATGCAATGTCAAATATAGTGATGCATGTCTTTCTTAACGATACACACCTCGTCTCTCAGTCCGGGACCCATGGGGGACATATCTGTCCATGCATCCGTCGCGGCGCACGACACGACCCTCGATAATAGTAACCATCGCGGAGGGCGATACGTCCCTCGAAATATAATATCCATAGCGGCGCACGATACAAACCTCGAAATGATACATCCTTATACCACAATCATGTCTCAGATACAATGCAATTGACATGCTCAAATGAAAATGAGGAGGCAACCATTTTGATACCAAAGCGCAATTTACAACAAGGAATACAACACCAACAAATAAGCAACAAGTCTCCAAATCATTCTCAAAATCACACAAGAAGATACACGAATTTCATAAGCTTAACAAGAGTTTAGAAATCCACTTGCCTTAACCACTTGAATAATCACTCAGGGACTTGAGCCTTCCCTTTCCGTTGAGTTTCAAAATCGATGCAATCTATGCAAGTATATATATTCACAATAAGGTTTCAGAACTAACAACACTCACACTTTTGTGTGTTTAATTTTGACCTAAAATTTAACCTCAAATTTATAATCAAGTTCGTAACTCTTGATGCCAACTAACGTTTCAACTATTATATTTTTCAAGTTCCAAGTCTAAGGTTAAGTCCGTCCTTTTTTTTTTCTTCAATACCACTCTAATAATCCACCAACAATTAATTATCTATTTTAGTATAACAAACTTAAATTATAATATGCTAACAATAGTAAGGATATTTCTATAAATTTACTCTCCAATACTTCCATCTAGTCAAAGGCTTAATCAGTAGTGGTCACTATCCGATACATTCTCAACTTCACAAAATACATCCTTTCCAATCACTTCCAACAACCCAATTTAATAATATTTTATTTTTATAATGTGAACAATAAGAAAAGAAAAATAAATAAAAGAAAGAAAATATTAAAGTTGATGATTTTACGAAATGGAAAAAAAAGAAAAGAAAAGAAAAAAATAAAATAAAAATTGTAGATTTAATAATTTGCATCCAAATTTTGCCAAACACAAACATTAGATCATATCTTGGCAATCATTGCCAATGATTAGGTTATTATTATTATTTCAATTTTTGTTCTTTTTTTTGTTTACAACCATCAAAAATATTATATTATAATTAAAATTTTAAATGGATCCTAATTCTCTTTCTTCCTACCATTGAATCTTATATATATATACATATGTGTGCAACAATTAAAGAAATTAATGAAGATGTAGTTTACCTGAAGCAGTCGAACCCTTCGTCTGTTCCGTCTTTGTCCTTTTTTTTCCTTTTGTGAATTAATTAAGTACTAATTGTGATAGGGTTTACCCACATATTTTATTAAATAAAGGCTAAATAGTATAGGGTCTTAAATAAATTATCACTTTAGCCCATAAACTATCGATTGATTAACTTAAGTTAAACAAATATTTAAAACTCTAAAGAGGAGCTTTTGGGTCATTGCATTATCCACCACTAAAATCATGTTCGTCCTCGAACATAGAGTAAAAGAAAGTACCTGAAGCTTCAAAAAGTTGAGGATATCTGGCACGGTCTCCCAAGATGCCTCTCCCACTGTTCGGTGCTTCCAATGCACCTTCACTAAAGAAACTTCCTTGGTCCTAAGCTTTCGAACCTTCCTATCAAGATTAGTTATAGGCTCCTCCTCAAATGTCAAGTCTTGAACCAACTCCACAGAGTCAAGTGAAAGCACATGAGATTCATCCTGAATATACTTCCGAAGCATAAAGACATGGAAAACAGGATGAACTGCCGACAAACTAGGTGGCAAGGCTTTATAGGCCACCTCTCCCACTCGGATCAAAATCTTAAAAGGTCCAATGAACCTAGGGCTAAGCTTTCCCTTCTATCCAAACCTCATCACACCCTTCATGGGTGATACTCGGAGCCAAACATGATCACCCTCCATAAATACCAAGGCTCTTACTCTCCGGTCTGCATAACTCTTCTGTCGACTCTGAGTTGTCAATAATCTATACTGAATCATAAGGACTTGCTCCATAGCATCTCTAAGCAAGTCTATATCCAAAGAGTCCATCTCCGCCGAATCAAACCTACCAATCGGAGACCTACACCGTCTTCCATACAATGCCTCAAATAGGGACATCTGGATACTAGAGTGATAATTGTTATTATAGGCGAACTCCGCTAAGGGTAAATATCGATCCCATCTTGCACAAAAATTGATCACACACGCTCGAAGCATATCTTCCAATACCTGAATGGTCCGCTCAGATTGACCATCTGTCTGAGGGTGAAATGTCGTACTCATATGTAACTGAGTACCCAGACCATGTTGTAATGCCTTCCAGAAGAGAAGTAAATAGGGAACCTCGATCTGAAATGATAGAAATAGGAACTCCATGTAGTCGCACAATCTGACTAATATATAGTTCAGCTAATTTTTCTGCTGTATACTTTACCCGAACTGAGATAAAGTGGGCAGACTTGGTCAGCCTATCAACAACAACCCAAATAGATTCATAACCACCCACTGTGGTAGGCAAACCCACAACAAAGTCCATAGTAATCCGCTCCCACTTCCAAGTAGGAATAGGCATCCTCTGAGATACACCCCCGGGCCGCTGGTGCTCACACTTGACCTGCTGGCAAGTCAAACACCTCGAAACAAAGTCTGAAATATCTCTCTTCATCCCACACCACCAGTAATGTTGACTCATATCATGATACATCTTCGCCGCTCCCGGGTGGATGGAATACCGAGTGCAATGGGCCACCTCAAGAATTTGGGCACACAAATTCTGCCTCCGATCCGCAAGACACCATCAGAATCAAGGACAGCCTCCTTAGCTTCCCCTCTCAATACTTTGTCTCAAATGAGACATAATTTTTCATCATCAAATTGGTGTGCACGGATTTGCTCGACTAAAGAAGACCGAGCCTCAATAAAAGCAATCATCCCATCACTCTCTTCTGAAATCTGTAACCGGACAAGACTGTTAGCTAATATCTGCACATCTCTAGCCAATGGACTCTCCTCAATACTAAGCACTGCAAGACTCCCCATGCTAGGAGTCTTCCTACTCAGAGCATCGTCCACAACATTGGCCTTTCCTGGATGATACAGAATGGTCACATCATAGTGCTTCAACAACTCAAGCCATCTCCATTGCCTCAAGTTCAAATCCCTCTGGCTAAAGATATACTGAAGACTCCGATGATCAGTGAAGATCTCACAATGCACTCCATACAAATAATGACGCCATAAATTAATTACAAATACCATAGCCGCTAACTCCAGATCATGAGTAGGGTAGTTCTTCTCATGGGACTTCAATTGCCTAGAAGCATAAGCAATCACTTTCCCCTTCTACATCAACACACCACCCAAACCAACTCCTGAAGCATCACAATACACAGTAAAGTCGACACCTTCCTCAGGTAGAGTCAACATAGGAGCAGAAGTCAACAAAGTCTCGAGCTTTTGAAAGCTCTCCTCACACTCATCGTACAACTGAAAACCCACATTCTGTCGAGTAAATCTAGTCAATGGAGCTGCAATAGTAGAGAAACTCTGAACAAATCGTCGATAATAGCCT